CACTGTTGATCATACCAAGAACATAAAGCGAAAAGAACCAAAAGAATCACAGATACAAAGGACTGTAAGAAAATAAACCCCTGTCCTCGATACACAGGATGATCAGGCGGAGAACCAATGCTTGTTGCAATCTCATTAAAATCAGATCTAAGTTCTCGCTGCCGCTAAACAAAGATCTGAGGACATCCCACTACGGGTCACGTCAGAACAACCTTTCATCCGACCAATCAAAGCGTCGCTTACCAGATCATGAAAGTGACAGTCGGAATGTGTTTTCTCACGGTTGAAATGAACGTCAGCGTCGTGGAAGACAAAATGTGGACCAGCATGGGGCGGTACGGCGCCATGATTGGAGCAAGTGTGTTATTTCGGTAGTACTGTCCAGTAAGCCTTCCGTGAACAATATGCAGTGGCGTTTTGGCAGTCATAGTGTTTAGGACCAATATCTTTACGGATGGCTCAGAACCCGTGAAGATCCGGGGTAGAATAGGTCTTCAGCAACCCATGCTTGCCGTAAAAGGCGACTATTCTTGTCGCAAAAGACGACTAACGGGATCGGGTGGTCAGGCTCGCTGACGTGGTTGATGCATGTCATCGATCCCAATTGCGTAGATCGATGCCAATGATGTCAATCACTGGATTGTCTGGTCCAGATTCGAGTATTTACAGACCGCAGTCATATAGATGGAATATTGCTGAGTGCCGTGTTAAACAACAAATAAACAAACAAACAAACAAAAGTCGACAAACGGGATCGGCTGGTCAGGCCTTCTGACATAGATGATGCATGTCATCGTATCACAACTTAGTAGATCTACGCTGTTGTCAGTCACATGGATTGTCTGGTGCAGACTCGATAATTTTCACATAGTTGAATATTGTTGAGTACGGCGTTAAAACAACAATCAAACAAACAAACACTGACGTCACATTGCGTTCAGTGAGAAGTCATCTCTACAGAACAGAGAGTCGTGTTTGGAGACATGCTCATGACTGCCACCAGCAGTACACAGCACAATCGATACGGCGTCAAAACAACAATCAAACAAACAAACACTGACGTCACATTGTGTTCAGTAATAAGTCGCGGTTTCATCTTTTCAGAACAGAGAGTCGTGTTTGGAGACATGGTCATGACTGCCACCAGCAGTACACAGCACAATCGATATGGTCGTGTCAGACATGCGTGGGAAGACATTCCCCGCAGCTACAGGACAGACCTCATCCGTCTTGTCCCAACGGGGGATTCCGGGTTAGAAGTATTTGTCCGCAGGAACCTGTTCTTGTACGAGGCCACATATCTGACGGATGTTCAGGCTACGCGAATAAGTTCATTGCTGTAGCCGTACATCTACGGTGTGGATCGGTGTTTATATTATCAACCACAGGTTTATCTGGGCTCCATTCCTCACAGACTTTGCGCTAAGATGATCGTAACTCACATACTTTAACATAGGCTTACGATAATCGTAGCACCCATGCTTCAACATAGTGGTAAGATAGCTTTGTGGAGCGGGTCCAGACTCGATTATTTACAGACCGTCGTCCTAAAGCTGCAATATTGCTGAGCGCAGCTTGAAACAATAAACAAATAATCCGTCTTGATAACTGTCGCACAAGAAAAACGCCTGAAAATGAGCAATAAAAGAGGCCAAGGCAAAACCACACGGAAACCTTTAAGGGCTATTTGTCTTTTAAATTATTTTCTTGAAATTACAAGATACTATTTTAAAAATGTTAAAATACAAAGTTGAAATTTCAAGATAATGATTTGTGGAATTTCAAGACAATAATTTTTAAGATGTTAACTTCAAATTTCAACGCATGTATCTTGACATTTCAACCTAGTATCTTGAAATTTCAAGAAAAACAACCAAAAAACAAGTGGCCCAGGAAGGCATCCGTACAAAACGTCGACAGTGTGCCTATTAAACTGTATTTCACTTACTATTGCCATTTATACCTTGTCCTGCTGTTTGCTGTTTTGGCGAGGTTGTACATGGTGAAATTATGTGTACTGTTGGCGATATTTGCTACTATTTCCAGATGTGCATGAACAGGAGTATAGAGGCGTACCAGCCGTGTTACCCGTGTAGATCCGGGTTAGAATTGGTCTTCAGCAACCCATGCTTGTCGTACAAGGCGACTATGCTTGTTGTAAGGGGTGACTGACGGGGTGGGGTGGTCAGGCTCGCTGACTTGGTTGATGCATGTCGCATCCCAATTGCGTGGATCGATGCTCATGATGTTAATCACTGGATTATTTGGTCCAGATTCGATTATGTACAGACCGCCGTCATAGAGCTTAAATATTGCTGAGTGCGACGTTAAACAACAAACAAACAAAAGAAGCTAGATATTAAACGAGTGTCCTTCCTAAAATAGTAGTGGTGATTTCCAAACAAAAAACCCGACAAAAACAACAGCTACGGCAACACGATGAGTGAATTTTGTTTTACGCGACATTAGTTATATTTATTTATAATGTTTCAGGGGGCCACGGGTGGCCCAGTCGTCTAAGGCGCCGCGATTCGCTGTGCAGAGTTGCGTCTCTTGGCATGCCAGAAACCTATGATTGTGGGTTGGAATCCCAGTTCGCCCCGATTTTGTTTCTAGGTTTGTCAGCACCATACCCGTGCTCGTGGGTTTCACCGAAGTGGTAAATGTCTGAGACCTGCATCACTTCGGGCTTTCCCACATTAAGCTGACACGCCGTGATATAACTGGAATATTAAAAGCGGCGTTAAACCCGACTCACTCACTATAATGTTTCAGTGCGTCCAAATTCCTTGGTTTGTTTAACGCCGTGATATAACTGGAATACTGTTAAAAGCGGCGTTAAACCCAACTCACTCACTCACTTGGTTTGTTTATTTTTTTAAAAATCCCTGGATAATAGTAACATCGAATGTGGTCAAATTAAGAGATTTTAAGTGCGCTTCTGATGGATGACGCTCTGAGATGATAACTGATCATTTTGCGATTTTTCATACTGTAAAAATACGTAGTTTTCATTTAAAACATTTAAGATGAAATACTCCAGACATTATTAGGTTATTGGTGCCATATAAAGTTCAAATTATACCTGTTCGTTACATCCGAAATTCGCACTGATGATTAAACGATAAGCGGCAGATCAGGTACCAGATAATTAAATGAGTGAATGGATGTTGTTAAACGCCGCAGCCAAATTTCGGCTTGTTCGTAATCTGGTATGGACTAGGTAAACCATTGTCTGAAACCTTCTACATCGGGATACGATGACGCTCAATCAGGCACATTGAAACACATTGAAACCCAATACTATGCATGGTACAATTAACATTTACTAAACTGCCCGGTAAAAGAAAGTATACGCTTGAAAATAGATTTGACCAAAAGATTACAAACGTTATAAAACTGTTTCTAAGCTGAAAACAGTCGCCATAACACTGCAAACCACTCCAAAACACAACTATGACACTCGTATGAAATACATCACTATGCTTGTCGTAAGTGGCGACCAACGGGATCGGGTGGTCAGACTCGCTGACTTGCTTGATGCATGTCATCGATCCCAATCGTGTGGATCGATGCTCATGTTGTCAATCACTGGATTGTCTGGTCCAGATTCGACGCCGTCATATAGTGGGAATATTGCTGATTGCGGTGTTAAACAACAAACAAACAAAACAAACACTCACTCTCACACATGGGACAAGTATTTTTCTAAAAATACAACCAAACACCCGTTTTACTGAAATCATTTACATGTGTCTCGCATTGAAAGACACCATTTCATCTTTGATTTATTTTAACCCACCATCAAACATAGGCGTATACTTTCTTTTGCCCAGGTTTTATTTATCAAGTTTGACTATTTTGGAATAGAAAATATTAAAAAGGTCTGTGTGATATTAAAGATATCGAGGCAAATTGTTCATTGTGTAATATTATTGAAGAAGAAAAATATACTTTTTCATTGTTCATCACATGAAGACGTCCTGATCAAATTGGATTACCTTATTAGGCTCTACCGTTTGATTGTACGGTATATTGCTGAGTTGGCCTTGTGTTTTATTAATCAATCATATATTCTTAGATAATAATATCTTTACTGCTGATTGTAGATGTTTGTTTGTTGTTTAACGCCGCACTCAGCAATATTCCAGCTAGATGACGGCGGTCTTTAAATAATCGAGTCTGGACCAGACAATACAGTGATTGACATCATGAACATCGATCCACGCAATCGGGATACGATGACATGCATCAACCAAGTCAGCGAGCCTGACCACCCGATCCCGTTAGTCGCCTCTTACGACAAGCATAGTCGCCTTTTACGGCAAGCATGGGTTGCTGAAGACCTATTCTACCCCGGATCATCTACGGGTCTGGCCCTCAATGACTTTGAAAATTTCCTGTGAAAAAACACGAACACGGGGATGATGCAATCTGGGATTCGAACCCAAGACCTTCGAATCCTAAAGAGCCTATACAATGTACAATGATATTTATTTCACAAAATACTAGCTTCTGGTGGTCCCCCCCCCCCCCCCCCCCCCAAAAAAAAAAAATAAATAAAAAATGCATCGTTGCGTCGTCTGCTAACTGTCAGAATGGCCGAAGAGAAGAAGCGTTTCACTTCCGGGAAACGGAAGGTTCGGGGTTTGATCCCCGGCCGCGTCATATCAAAAGACGTTAAAAGATGGTACTTGTTGTTATCCTGTCTGGATCTCAGCATAAGGGGCTAAAACAAGGACTTGTCGGCTCGGAGTCCGTATGCTATGTCTGAGTGAGGTATTCATGTTAAACTGCGGCATGGTTTCTCAGTGAATTCGCACTATAAAATCGGCGTTTGTCCGGACAAGCACAAGCAGCCACACACAAACACACGTGTATGCACGTCGCTATATAAATGCAATAATCTTGGACGCGACGTTAAACCCCATTTCACCTCACCTCACTTCGAGATCGGTTGACAACGTTTATCGGTTTCATATATAAGACATGACACCATAGACAAATTACACACATATATATTGTTATGTTACAAAGAAAACAAAGAACACATTCGGAAGGCACACGATGCACAAGCACGTAGCTACATATCTATGCACGATAAGGGCCAACGCTCTCTACAAAGGGCGCCAGACCTTGACTATTATACAATATTACCTGACATCGGAGCTTGTTATATGATCCTAATATCCTAAAAAACATTGTCTACCTCACAAAATACCAGCAAAAATGTTCCATGGAGATGAAAGGGGCGATTTTTGCAAATTAGAGTTGATATTGTAATTTTATTCGTTGATGTACATTCAATTCTGGCCTCCTCGAATCAGTATTAAAGAAGAACATTTAAGGCCGGAAAACGGGATACTTTTCAAACCATGCACCACTTCTCGTGTCTTTCCGTAACCAATAAGCCTGTCACGGATTGACACGAATGTTTTGGCTTTGGGTCGTGTTCAGCGGAAAGGGGGATAACTCTGTTGTTCGACGCTTTACACACAGTCGTTCCGTTTGCAAGATCCACAGCAGTTGGGATAGAAGTATCCGTTCTTTTTACAGACCGAACACTTCTTCTTCGTGCCTTTTCCGATCTTGTTTTCGCAGTACGCTCCCGAGTACTTGTTGTCATATTTACAATCTGAAATAAAACACGAATCAATGTTCAACGCCTAACACTGTAATATAAAATCACAACTTGAGGTTAGGGGTAAATAAACATGGTTTGATAAGTAATTAAGTGTTCACCTTTCCCTGAATTCATCTAAGGCCCTGCAATTCGCTATGTAGAGTTGTGTCCCTTTGGCACGCCAGAAAGCTATAATTGTGGGTTCGAATCCCCGTTCGTTCCGATGATATTTCTAGGTTTATCACCACCATACGTCTGCTCGTGGGTTTCACCAATGTGGTAAACGTCAGAGACCTGCATCACTTCGGGCTTTCCTCCCACATTAAGGTGACACGCCGTGATGTAACGGGTATCCTGTTAAAAGCGACGTCAAACCCAATTCACTCACTCACTCACCTCTCTGAACAGTATTTATATATTTCACCGTCTTGCAGCTAAAGGAAGAACGTCCAAAAATGGAATATTTACAATTAAGTCAAACCAACTAAAATATAAGCACTGATTTTTGACGAGTCTCATTCAAATCTACAAATCAGCATATCCGGAGATGGCGAAGGGCCGCAACTCTGCACAGTAGCAACTTATGACGCATCAATCCGAGCGATAACTACTTGGACGTCAACATCTACAGTGAAACCCTGTTAATCCGAGCGACAACTACTTGGATGTCAACATCTACAGTGAAACCCTGTTAATCCGAGCGATAACTACTTGGATGTCAACATCTACACTGAAACCCTGTTAATCCGAGCGATAACTACTTGGATGTCAATATCTACAGTGAAACCCTGTTAATCCGAGCGACAACTACTTGGATGTCAATATCTACAGTGTAAGCCTGTTAGACCTGGCTTCTAGCACTTGTCCAACAATATCATGAATACAATGTGTAAGCCCATTTCTGGTTTACCCCGACATGAATATTGCTGGAATATTGCTAAAAGCGTCGTAAAATCCAACTCGTTCACTCTAACCAACCACCTGCAACTGATTCTTAAACTAACCAAGTGCAACTCCTCTAGTCAACAACGTGCGACTGTTCCTCTAACATGCAAATGCTCACCGAGAGGTAAGTTGTATTTTTGCTTAATGTTGGCCAGCCACGTGGTGCAGAAGTCCAGACATGCCTTGTCATTTTCTTTCAAGTAATAATTGCACTCATTTGGCCACAGGGTTTCGTAGTGCTTCCGTAAATAACAACCATCATCTGGAAAAGAAAGCAAACTCATGTTAATATATTGAAATTACGGTTATGCCGCAATTTCACGATTGCGAATGATATCTCACCAGTTAGTGCAGAACCATCCAGTTATGGAGAATTGTTCAGCAACAAGCCAAGAGATATTCTGTGTGGAACTGATCGGAGAGCCAGGGTGGAAACACCAGTGTGAAGTCGTCTAATTTGGAGGTGGCGGCGTAATGATGTGGGCGGGTATTTGGCACTGGTATAACAAACCTAATGCATGCGCATGTCACCTTTACCTGTGCCAGACCTCATTCCAGTGTAATGTCTTCATATCGGACACGTGTCCACTGTTGTCCTGTTTGCAAGGTGTCATAAATCATCGTGTGGCAGTACCTCCCACAAAAGACCCGTGAAGATCCGGGGTAGACTAGGTCTTCAGCAACCCATGCTTACCATAAAAGGCGACTATGCTTGTCGTAGAAGGCGACTTACGGGATCGGGTGGTCAGGCTCGCTGATTTGGTTGATGCATGTCATCGTATCTCAATTGCGTAGATCGATGCTCATAACGCCAATCACTGGATCGTCTGGTCCAGACTCGATTATTTACAGACCGCCGTCATATAGCTGGAATATTGCTGAGTGCGGCGTTAAAGAACAAACAAACCTCCCACAATAACAACATATGATGTCTATCACTTGATAAGATACGCTTTAAATGTAGCTCAGGAATATTATACGTATCAAGACATTTATCAATGGATGTGGTCCTGCACCATGACTGTGAAATATATTTATTTTATGAAAAATAAATAAATCTAGAAACGCATACAAAAGCAAGTCTAGCCAGCTCTAGCTAGCTGAAATCAGCATAGGGAAATTTATTTGTATTTTTAGAGTCAAGAAGGATTTTGTGTAATATAAGATTTCAGAGACTAAATGTTAGTCTACAATGGATGTTATACGTATCAAGATATTTACCTCATGAAAAGATACATAGAAAGATATGTACCTCACGATACGATCCGTACCACGACATTTATTGCATAAGAAACGTACCATTTTCACTTTTACTTCAAGGTGAAGAGTCCGTTACAAAAAGGACAGCGTTATTTGATTTCACGACACTTTTTAAAACCGTGTCATTCGAACCCGATTAAAATTGAAATGACGTTATCATGGATCCAGGTTATGTATCATAACAGAATCGACAAATGATAATCGAGGATGGAAAACCGAAGGCTGCGTTGGAGTGGTGTTTCTGACATCTCTACATACCTAAAGTGTTCAGTGCCGGTTTCTCGTCATACCACACTTCATCCTTCGCGTCTCGCCTCTGGAGAATGTCCACCAATCGTTTATACGGAGATTCTAAAGTAAATGAGTCAAAATGAAGAAGAGTGTTGACATAAAGTGCCGGGCAAAATAAGAATACACGTATGTTTGATGGTGGCTAAAATGAAATAAATATGAAATGGTTATTCGATGGTGACCTATTTGATACGCGTATCGAAGTTGGACCTTAAATTTGCAGTGTTTCGGCGACTATTCTCAGCCTTGTGTTTCAATAACGTTTGTAATTTTTTTGGCGCTCTCAAAATTAGGAATAGGGGGCTCTTATTAGAATATTGTTTTGGTGAAAAAAAACAGAGTTGAAAGATAAATTTTATGGTTTAAGCTGACAAACTGAAATGTTTATGTACGACAGATATATTTTTCCAGAATTAAATTGCCCATAATTAAGGGTGCATATAACACACGAGTGTGTATCATACGCGAATAAATAAGTCTTGTGTACATTGATCAGTTGGAAGGGGTGCTAATTGGGATTGTTCACTTGCCAATATATTAACAAATATCGACCTGGGCGCTTATTGGAGCGGGGCGCTTATTACGTCGAATACGGTAGTAAGTTTATTTCCAAAATCGACGAATTTCTCAGAAACAAGCAAAATGCGATGTCAATATTTTCAAGGAGGTCGAGTAGACAGGCGTATTCTGTCTCTAGCATGAGTGTATTTCGTAGTGTCAAACTGCACTGTCTAATGTATTCACTTTACACAAGATATTGATACAAATTTACTGGAAGAGTAATACTTTAATGGAAAAGACAGGAATACATGTAATACCTCTGTCATACTCGCGTTTAGAGGGTTCATCTTCGTCGGCATCGTCAGGGTTTAGCAGCGTCTTCAGCTGCGATATTAGGCGCTCTTCTTTATCTTCCTCCAGTTCTCGTTCAGCCATCTCGGCGTCCATGTCTGAAAAGCCATCAATATAATGATAGGCTTCCACATCCCATCAGTCTGTCACACACGCAGGCGCTTACTAACACACACACGCACGCTCACCTTTAAAAGTAAAAGCACCATGCAATAATGTAATTTTTGTGAGTGAGTGAGTTAAGTATGCCGCCGCTTTTAATAGTATTCCAGTTATACCACGGCGTGTCAGCTTAATGTGGGAGGAAAGCCCGGAGTGATGCAGGTCTCTGACGTTTACTACTTTGGCGAACCCACGAGCACGGGTATGGTGCTGACAAATCTAGAAACATCATAAGGTGAACTGGGTTTCGAACCCACAGTCATAGATTCCTGGTGTGCCCAAGGGACGCAACTATGTTCTTTAAAGTATGTGAATATCCGGCTAGTGCTTTAACCATCTAAAACCCCACTGCACACATGTGAGATAACTTGGAGCGATCGAGTGTCGGGTTTTGCCGCTTTTAGCAATATTCCAGCAATGTCACGGTTGGGGAAAATGGGCTCCACACGGTGTACCCGTATGGAAATCGAACCCTGGAGTGACGAGCGAACTCTGGAACCGCTGGGCTTCCACACCGCCGGAGGTGAAATGGACTTTTACGTCGCGGTCCAGATAGTTTCACTTCCACAGCGACGAGACCGCCTCCGTGGTCTTGTGGTAGAGCGTCCGCCCGGAGAGCGGAAGGTCCGGGGTTCGATCCCCGGCCGCGTCATACCAAAAGACGTTAAAAGATGGTACTTGTTGTTACCCTGTCTGGCGCTGTCAGACCCCTTATCCACAAGGCCACGTAAAAAGGTCCATGACTTGGACGCGTTATGCACCGAGGTACTTTAGCGTCTCACGATCTGGACCAGCTATATTCAGGTCACCATCAGGACCATTATCCAAGCCCAAACAATGTCGGGCAATTGTTATATTTCACAAAATCAACAATCTCTTTTAACATTCGTTCCTCATGACAAATCCGTCACGCAACATAGCTGCAAAACCTACAAGTCCTAACCACTAATTTTCCATTCGATTCAAACGATCTTTTATGTTTCCCATTTCTATATATTTGACATAAGTAAACACTGGCGATATAACTACACACTTATCAAGCAAGGGTTCCATTTGTGTAGTCTGGACTAAAGTACACCTCTGGGCAATGTCGCATCAGAAACATGACAAAACACATGCTACGCTTCGCTAAATCTGTTCTTTCCGATGTATACGTAGAATGAGACGGACGGCGAATTGGAGGAAAGTAGTTAAGATATATCTATTAGTCATTTGTACATGACCAATATAAAGACAAGAAAGAAACTAACCTAGACACGCCGGTTTTGATTTGCATTATTAATTAAGTTACTCAAATGTAGAATGAGTGAGATAGGTTTAACGCTGATTTGAACAGTACAGTAAACTACGGTTATAACGAACTACGGTTATAACGAACTCAAAGGGACCACTAATTTTAGTTCGTTGTAACCGTAGTTCGTTAAAAGCATACATACAGCATATAGAGAGCAAATGGCCGGGACAAATAAAAGTTAGTTATATCCGTCAGTTATAAGCGTGTTCGTTATAAACGTAGTTTACTGTATTTCAGTTAAATCACCATTTGTCATGTCGATGTGGGTGGAAAGCCTGATGCAGATTAGATTGGTAAACTTAACATCCACCCGGATCATTATGCCATACGATTTTTTCCATGGTATAGTGGATATTGCGTCTGCCCGGAGAGCAGAAGGTCGGTGGTTCGATCCTCGACCGCGTCATACCAAAAGACGTTAAAAGATGGTACTTGTTTTTACCCTGCCTTCTGCTCGGCTCGGAGACATTCTAGTGTCTGAGTGGGGTATCCATGTTGAATTGCGGCATGGTACATCAGAGGGCTAGCACTGTAAAGCCGGCATTAGTCCTGACTCGCACACGCACACACACACACACACACACACACACAAATGCAGCCGCTGAGCTATGTAATTGCAAGAATCTTGAACGCGACGTTAAACTCATGTCACCTCACAATACTGGCACCGCCAAACCGGATTTAATCAATTATATTTAACAAGATTTGTTAAGTCTGCGACCTGCGACCTGCGTCCCTTTGGGCTTCCGTCCCACATTAAGCCGGCACTCCACATCTTCCCGAGGCAAGTGAGTTAACTGACTATAAAAGTGGAAACTGGACTTTTAAAGTCAGTTAACTCTCTTGCCTCGGGAAGATGGCACTCCATGGCCATGTTTGAGGCCGATAACCCCAAACCACATACCTTCATATTGATTATGGAGAAAACACTTGCCAATTAAACAGGGTCACCATTTCAGACTTCAAAAACATTCCACGAAATACAATGATTTTTTTTCTCAAACTTACCCCTCTTAACCTCAGCCACGGTCCTTTGAAATTCCTTGTTCTCCATTAACGTTCTGATTTTATCATACAACTGTGACGTCCCTGACACCGGCGGGAGGGTCAGCGGGATGAGGAGGAGTGGAAGCAGCAGCAGCATCGCAACGCCAGCCATCGTGTGCAGATACAGACCCACGACTGGGAGCCACAGGCACCTGTTGCACGCTACCGGGGCTACTTATGAATATGCATGACAGTCCTCCGTGGTCATGGTAACCATGTGACGAGGCTGCACAGGTAGGGACTTGCAAACAGAAGACCCCATTCATATCGAGTTTTGTCATGTGAGAGCACTTGTTATGTGAGCAGGTATATCTGACATATTGCGTGGGACCCGGGAAATATTTGGGTGTATTGACTTAGGATGATTTTACATGTAGATCACACAAGCGTGCCCCGTGCGCGGTTTGTGCAAATTTTATGAATTATTACTGCTGGCAATTCAACTACGAAGTATAGATCGAGATCCTATCCTATCCTTTTTCTCTAAGAAACCCAGTTCCCATGTAGATGGAATATTGTTGTTAGCCAAGTGTCTGGTTATAAACGTATATATGTACTAAACTGCCCAGCAGGTTGGTTGGTTGTTTAACGCCGCACTCAGCAATATTCCAACTAAATGACGGCGGTCTGTAAGTAATCGAGTCTGGGCCAGACAATCCAGTGATTAATATCATGATAATCGATCCACGCAATTGGGATCGATGACATGCATCAACCAAGTCAGCGGGCCTGACCACCCGATCCCTTTGTCGCCTCCTACGACAAGCATAGTTGCCTTTTACAGCAGGCATGGATTGCTGAAGACCTATTCTAACCCGGATCTTCACGGGTCTGTAGTCTTGGAAAGGCAAATCAGAGCTTGACATCAGTCCCAACGTGCATGGCAATTAGCGGCAAAGTTAGCTGTAATCGCACGATCTTATGTAAGACTAGCCCCTAACTCCCTATGTTGGTCGTAGGGCGGTGGGGTAGCCCAGTGGTTAAAGCGTTCGCTCGTTACACCGACAACCCGGGTTCGATTCCTCACGTGGGTACAATGTGTGAAGCCCATTTCTGGTGTTCCCCGCTGTGATATTGCTGGAATATAAAAGCGGCGTAAAACCATACTCACTCAATGTACGGATATTTTGTTTATATAATATTATGGCACAGCGAATTTCTTTCAAGCATTATTGCATAGCTTTGTCGGCGTTCAAGGCCAGGCAAACACACAAAGTCCGCGGCCGTGTTTAATATAGACTCAATGATGAAAAGCGAAGCGTGACGTTGCTCGAGTTCTTTGAGATAATAAAAGATGTTATCAACTATTTAAAGCCTACTTTTATGCTGCTTCACTTTAAAGCAATGAGTTCGGGTCAACAGTCAACAGTTGGACTTCGATCATTCGTATATTTGTTTACTTTACTTGTTTGTTTTGCTAAATTCGCAACCAGAACTGGCTGAGTAGAACCGGATTTTTGCAGTGTTCTGTGGTGGCGCGTGGTTCGGTGTACAGCGTACAGGTCTCACATCAGGTGAAGTTATGCAGCTTTGGTTGCGGAGAATAGGTGGATGGGTGACCGTCATCTTGACTGCTGACCGTTTCATGGGCTTCGGTCCTGCCCCACACTGAAACACACGTTGCATGTGGTGTCTCCTCAGGCAGGAACCTTGTTCATAGTATCCCTCGGTTGAACCGGCAGTGAATGGGTACCCGGTAGGACGAGAAGGTAACGTGACTGTCAACCTTCTAGCACATCATGAGGCAGCTTGGGTCGTCTACTCTCCATTGTCATGATCCAGAGCGTACATTGAATGGTGTATACGTAAATTATGTAAGATATTAGGACACAGCGAATTTCTTTTCAAGAATTATTGCATATTGTGTCTGTCTGTGTTCAAGGCCAGGGAGACACATCATTTCCGCGGTCATGTGTAACGTAAAGTAACTATCACCATCATCACTTCATTATGATTATTATCATCATCATCATCATCATCATCATTATTATTAACCCTGTTGCAATCTAGATAGATGTGACGCCATGAATCCTGTCACATTTCAGTTCTAATAAATAGAGAATACTTGTGCTGTTATGTCCTGAATGAAGTTTATACAAAAGAGATCTACAGTGAAGTGCACAAAAAATATCTCTTTTGAAACCAGACACAAGAACACGTAAACGCGGGGTATTTGGAGTGGTCCTACAAGTTTGTATCTGCCCGTTCAAATACAGCTTCACGTCCCTTTGCACCGCGCTGAAGGCCAAGTCGGGAAAAACACACACGACCAACCTGCTAACAGGGCTGTCTTCACCGAGATTTGTATGGAAGGGTAAACCCTTTTAAATACAGTCATGTATTTAACACAGAATTTAAACACAGGATATATGGGGATATTATTAGACCTATGTGAGTTTCTTTTTCACCGATTTGATTGTGTGGGCGAGGTTTACTAACACACCGTAACCCAAGTTCAGGTGCACGTAAGGTGGCACGTGGTGGCAGTTGAAGATCTTCCTGGGCCCACTCGCACAAAGCGATCTTAGCGCTAAGATGATCGTAACTCCCATACGTTAACATAGGCTTACGAAAGTCTTAGCGCCATGATCGCTTTGTGCAAGTGGGCCCTGATCTAGGATGGTTATCTGGACTCACTCTTCCCCTCTTGAAATCCAAGGGGCGGTGGGGTAGCCCAGTGGTTAAAGCGTTCGCTCGTCACGCCGAAGACCCGGGTTCGATTCCCGACATGGGTACAATGTGGGAAGCCCATTTTTGGTGTCCCCTGTCGTGATATTGCTGGAATATTGCTGAAAACGGCGTAAAACAATACTCACTCACTCACTTGAAGTCCGCTTCCCACCCCAACGCTAGCCAAGGAAGGAGCATCACCCTTTAAAGTTGGCACCATGTCCGCATGGTTGGCTGCTGGTGTTTGCCCTTTCTGTTGGAGACACCTGACCACAGCAGGGTAGCCAGTTTTGTCCATTTTCACCAACATAGAATACCTAGTCACTTTGATGCCTGCATCCCCACCCCAACCCCCACTGAAATTTGCAAATGGCCCAAGTCCAGCCCCTCCCCAACCCCTGGATCCGTTCCAAGTGTACTTGGACTCGTGAAGATTCCGGGTTGGATAGGTCTTCAGCAACCCATGCTTGCCGTAAAAGGCAACTATGCTTGTCGTAGAAGGCGACTAACGGGATCGGGTGGTCAGGCTCGCTGACTTGGTTGATGCATGTCATCGTATCCCAATTGCGTGGATCGATGCTCATGATATTAAACACTGGATTGTCAGGTCCAGACTTGATTATTTACAGACCGCCCTCATATAGCTGGAATATTGCTGAGTGCGGCGTTAAACAACCAACCAACAACCAACCCAAGTGTACTTAACAGCGTTCGAAGATAGGCGCAGACATTTCAGCCACCCCTCGTATTAATTTACTAAATATTTTAACGTATTTTTATACGTAGATGTAAACGATGAATTAAAATTGAAATTGAGTACAATCGAGGCCTTACTTATTTAATCATTATTAATTTACATGCGTTAATTTGGTTGTGAATAACTTAAAATAACTTGGGTTCATAATACTGTAGTTGTGTGTTCATACGTTTTTGGCTTTTTAAAGAAAGTTATGATAATGATAAAATGGCTATATACAACCAGGTCACTCGAATGTACAGGAGCAGTACAGCTGTATACAGAATACATGAATTCACCGCTCGGGAGAAAGAATGAAAGCAGGCATCGGTGCCTGACAGGAAAAAGCCACTTATCAAGCTGACAGCGATGTAAAGATAACAGAGAATAGACCTACTGATGGGGAGTCGCTTTTGTCATAAGCACATGACACGATGAGGCTAAAAAATTAAATGTTGGGTTCGGTTTGCCAAAGTGGTGAAGGTCTGAGACCTGCATCTCTTCGGGCTTTCCTCATAAGCTAAGCTGACACCCCGTGATATACTGGAATACTCGTGGAGATTCCGGGTTAGAATTGGTCTTCGGCAACCCATGCTTGTCGTAAGAGGCGACTAACGTGATCGGGCGGTCAGACTGGTTTACTTGGTTGATACATGTCATGATGTCAATCACTGGATTGTCTGGTCCAGATTCCAATAATTCAGACCGTAGTCATAAAGCTGGGATATTGCTGAGTGCGGCGTTAAACAACAAACAAATATAACTGGAATACTATCCAAAGTGGCGTTAAGACCAATTCGCGCACTGTGTGTGAGTGAATTGGTTTCACAAGGGTAAAGATCTTCGACCTGGGTCATTTTTGGACGTCTCGCACCATAACCTGACATACCTTGATATAACTAAAATACTGTTCAAAGAAGCATTGACCCAACTCACTCACTCATTACATTAACACGGATCTGTGTGATATAAACAAACTGTTGTTCGCAAGGTCAGGAATAGAAATGTCCTTTTTTCCAAAATATAACTAAACGACCTATGAACAAAAATGTAAATGGTACTACCCTAAGTAAGTCCATCGCACACATCGGCGCTAGATTCGCATCACTAGTGATGTGTTTCCAGATGGTGATAAAACTGAATATAGGAGACAATAATGTATCACAAATATGATGCTAATGTACGTGATCTAGACCGTAACAAGAACACACAAATAAATGCTCTCGGGTATGAATTGGCGATCTTTTTCAATTTATCTTCCCTTCACTAACCCGCTAGGTGCGCTGAAAGAAAGAAATACAAAAAAGAAACTGACCAAAATACGTAAAACAAGAGACGAGGAATCTCCGTTATTGATTAGTCCCGGTATTGAAAATTTAATGTTCTCCAACTACGTGATAATATTTTGAGTATGTGCATCTGTGGTTCTGACAAAAAGACCTTATCTAGTATGACTTTTTTGCCATATGGAGCCCTTAGTATTTTCATTTACATTTTTATAACCAAATGCCAAGTGTAGAAAAGAATGTGATCTATTATTTGATTATGTGCATCTGCCAATGTTGTTGGCAGTTTTGATACTATTTCAACATGTTTACATTTGTGCAAGAAATTGCTTCCATTTCCTTCGATCTACTGTTTAAATAAACCCATGCTTGCCGTAAGAGGCGACGAACAGGATTGGGTAGTCAGGCTCGCCGATTTGGTCGATGCATAACATCGTATTCCAATTGCGTAGTTCGATGCTC